TTTATTGAGTATGTTGTGCTCCTTCCACAAAGTGGTTTTCCCCACAACATTTTTTCTGAGGCTAGTTCTAACTGGTAGGATTGCCAGGTAGCAAGCACATTTCCTGTTTTCTGATACTCGTTCAAAAGTTCCTGAAGTTCCTTGCAAATCCATAAGCCCAAATGTCTAATGCATGTGAGAATTTGACTGGGAAAAGGCACCAACATAGGACAACTTTCTAACAGAAATTCAAGATTTGTTATATCAATAAAATCCAAGGCATGCAAATGGTCTGCAACAGAATCCTGTGAGACGACAAATTCTATCCTACATGCACTTTTCCTCAGCAATGTCCAGTTACTTTGTAATGTTGATATATAATGCTCTGCGTCACGTAGAAATGCTTCCGCTGTCGATCGTGGGAAACACATACCCCCAACAATGCAGCCAGACACTGGATGATATCGTCCATTTGGTTGCCGGTGTGGAATGTCAGCATAAAGCTGTACAAATTGAACATCTTGTGGAAAACGACAAATCTTCATCAAACAATCTTTAACATCCATTGCTCTGCCATCTAAATTGCTCTGATAATTACCGCAGTCTGTGAACGATAAGCAGCTACTTAGTGTTCCTCTGTGGCCAATAACTTGTTCCAAACCTACTGTGGACCAAAGCAGATCAACGTCTTCACTGTCTGACAAAATGTTTCCGGCAACATGAATAGTTGTACGCAGTATTAATTCGGTAAAGAAATCTGACAAGGATAGCCCACATGTCATTTTTTCACCAAATCTGAAGCAAAATATGATTGGTCTTAAAAATCCACTTTGAGGCAGTTCGTCTAAAGATGTTTGCAATGCTTCGAGTATGGGACAACAGTCATCAGGTAAAATGAACATTTTTCGAGCGTCATTAATGTCATTCTTTTGCAGAGTTCTCGTTGCCTCCCCCCTCAAGGCAAGTGTCATTAGTGAAGTTTTAAAACTTTCCCTCAGCTGGAAAAAGGTGGCTAAGGTTTGTTGTCTTACTTGCTGCTTTGATAACGCAACTGAATGCATTTGGTGCACAGGAATTAATCCTATCCAACATTCCCATCCCCTCTCATAGAATAATTGAAAGCCTAGGCTGTTTGAAAATGTCATGAGTTCGCTTTTACTATACTGTGGTAATTTTATATGTTTTTTCAAAACGCTTCTAACATTCCGTAAACTGGCATGATCGTGGGGAAACAGAGTAATATGTCTCACTGGCATTCTAATTGCTGTCAAAGATTTTAATTCCAAAACGCATCCATCAATATCGAATGAATATCTCAACCATACTTCTCTGTCTACTTCATCGACTGTCAAACATCTTCCATAAATTCGTTCATCCCTTCTTAAAAAGAGTTGAGGTGTTTCAGATAAAGAATTGTATAGCTTTGCTAAATTAAAGTTCTCTTGCACGGTTTCAGAAAAAGTTTGTACACTTTCATCAACGTCCATCTGAAATTAGAAAAACATTGTTTTTAGAATGGTACTCTTTGCAAAAGATGTAAAATCCAGAAAAAATTCATGTGCTGAAAATTATACTAACAATATCAAAAAATCCTGCATAAAAATAACCCTGGGTTAAACCCGTGTATATTCTGGGTTAGACTTGGGTTTATCCTGGGTTAAACCCGGGTATATCCTGGATTATACCTGGGTTATACCCAGGTATATCCTGGGTTATACCTGGGTATATCTCGGGTTATACCCGGGTTAATCCTGGGTTATACCCGGGTTTATCCTGGGTTATACCCGAGTATATCTTGGGTTATACCCGGGTTTATCCAGGGTTAAACCCAGGTATATCTCGGGTTATACCCGGGTTAATCCTGGGTTATACCCGGGTTATACCCGGGTTTATCCTGGGTTATACCCGGGTATATCCCCGGGTATATCCTGGGTTAAACCCAGGTATATCTGGGTTAAACCCGGGTATACCTGGGTATACCCGGGTTAAACCCGGGTATACCTAGGGTATACCCGGGTTAAACCCGGGTATACCAAGGGTATACCTGGGTATACCACTGGTGTTCATACCCAGCATGATTTTAATTTTAATCAATGACCTTAATTTCAATCAATATGCTCTTATTGTATAATTAAAAGGAATATATCATAATTACTTATTGAAAATACACTTTTATTTACCAGGTATAACTGAAAAATACAAAAAATATACATAAACTTTGTCCTTTTAAACACAAATAATTCAATATACTTTCGTAAATTTTGAATGCTAAAATAAGGCAAAGTTATGCATAACTTCTAAAAAAAGATGTCGTTGTTTTCTCAAAAAACACATAATAATTAGCAATTAAAAAAAATCAATTGAAATATTACCTTAGATTAAGAAAATCACCCATTAAATACACCACAGTATATAAGCGTCTGAATCGAAAGAAATCCAGCAACAAAATACCTACTTTCACAATAAAATGATTGACAATCACGTGATAAAATAGGCGGAGTTCCGCATTCCCGCACCCGCATCACGTCAAAGTGCCTATACCCTAACCCTAACCCTAACCCTAACCCTAACCCTAACCCTAACCCTAACCCTAACCCTGAGTTAACCCTGATTTTCAGGGTTTATGCAGGGTTATCCCTTTAAACTTCATATCTGGTGTTCATATTCGGGTTGTAAGCTAAGTAGGTAATGTTCAATCCAAAAAACCCTCAACCCTTCCCGAACCCGGAAGTTAAAGGGTCAACCCTGAGTTAACCCTGATTTTTAGGGTTTATTCAGGGTTATCCCTTTAAACTTCATATCTGGTGTTCATATTTGGGTTGTAAGCTAAGTAGGTAATGTTCAATCCAAAAAACCCTCAACCCTTCTCGAACCCGGAAGTTAAAGGGTCAACCCTGACTTAACCCTGATTTTCAGGGTTGTTGCAGGGTTATCCCTTTAAACTTCATATCTGGTGTTCATATTCGGGTTGTAAGCTTAGTAGGTGATGGTTGATCGATTGACCACTCAACCCTGCCCGAACCCGGAAGTTAAAGAGTCAACCCTGAGTTAACCCTGATTTTCAGGGTTGTTGCAGGGTTATCCCTTTAAACTTCATATCTGGTGTTCATATTCGGGTTATAAGCTAAGGAGGTGATGGTTGATCGATTGACCCCTCAACCCTGCCCGAACCCGGAAGTTAAAGGGTCAACCCTGAGTTAACCCTGATTTTCAGGGTCCATTCAGGGTTATCCCTTTAAACTTCATATCTGGTGTTCATATTCGGGTTGTAAGCTAAGTAGGTGATGGTTGATCGATTGACCCCTCAACCCTGCCCGAACCCGGAAGTTAAAGGGTCAACCCTGAGTTAACCCTGATTTTCAGGGTTTATGCAGGGTTATCCCTTTAAACTTCATATCTGGTGTTCATATTCGGGTTGTAAGCTAAGTAGGTGATGTTCAATCCAAAAAACCCTCAACCCTTCCCGAACCCGGAAGTTAAAGGGTCAACCCTGAGTTAACCCTGATTTTTAGGGTTTATTCAGGGTTATCCCTTTAAACTTCATATCTGGTGTTCATATTTGGGTTGTAAGCTAAGTAGGTAATGTTCAATCCAAAAAACCCTCAACCCTTCCCGAACCCGGAAGTTAAAGGGTCAACCCTGAGTTAACCCTGATTTTCAGGGTTTATGCAGGGTTATCCCTTTAAACTTCATATCTGGTGTTCATATTCGGGTTGTAAGCTAAGTAGGTGATGGTTGATCGATTGACCCCTCAACCCTGCCCGAACCCGGAAGTTAAAGGGTCAACCCTGAGTTAACCCTGATTTTCAGGGTTTATGCAGGGTTATCCCTTTAAACTTCATATCTGGTGTTCATATTCGGGTTGTAAGCTAAGGAGGTGATGGTTGATCGATTGACCCCTCAACCCTGCCCGAACCCGGAAGTTAAAGGGTCAACCCTGAGTTAACCCTGATTTTCAGGGTCCATTCAGGGTTATCCCTTTAAACTTCATATCTGGTGTTCATATTCGGGTTGTAAGCTAAGTAGGTGATGGTTGATCGATTGACCCCTCAACCCTTCCCGAACCCGGAAGTTAAAGGGTCAACCCTGAGTTAACCCTGATTTTCAGGGTTTATGCAGGGTTATCCCTTTAAACTTCATATCTGGTGTTCATATTCGGGTTGTAAGCTAAGTAGGTGATGTTCAATCCAAAAAACCCTCAACCCTTCCCGAACCCGGAAGTTAAAGGGTCAACCCTGAGTTAACCCTGATTTTTAGGGTTTATTCAGGGTTATCCCTTTAAACTTCATATCTGGTGTTCATATTTGGGTTGTAAGCTAAGTAGGTAATGTTCAATCCAAAAAACCCTCAACCCTTCCCGAACCCGGAAGTTAAAGGGTCAACCCTGAGTTAACCCTGATTTTCAGGGTTTATGCAGGGTTATCCCTTTAAACTTCATATCTGGTGTTCATATTCGGGTTGTAAGCTTAGTAGGTGATGGTTGATCGATTGACCCCTCAACCCTGCCCGAACCCGGAAGTTAAAGAGTCAACCCTGAGTTAACCCTGATTTTCAGGGTTGTTGCAGGGTTATCCCTTTAAACTTCATATCTGGTGTTCATATTCGGGTTGTAAGCTAAGTAGGTGATGGTTGATCGATTGACCCCTCAACCCTTCCCGAACCCGGAAGTTAAAGGGTCAACCCTGAGTTAACCCTGATTTTTAGGGTCCATTCAGGGTTATCCCTTTAAACTTCATCTCTGGTGTTCATATTCGGGTTGTAAGCTAAGTAGGTGATGTTCAATCCAAAAAACCCTCAACCCTTCCCGAACCCGGAAGTTAAAGGGTCAACCCTGAGTTAACCCTGATTTTCAGGGTTTATGCAGGGTTATCCCTTTAAACTTCATATCTGGTGTTCATATTCGGGTTGTAAGCTAAGTAGGATGATGCTTTAATCGATTGAACCCTCAACCCTGCCCGAACCCGGAAGTTAAAGGGTCAACCCTGAGTTAACCCTGATTTTTAGGGTCCATTCAGGGTTATCCCTTTAAACTTCATCTCTGGTGTTCATATTCGGGTTGTAAGCTAAGTAGGTGATGGTTGATCGATTGACCCCTCAACCCTGCCCGAACCCGGAAGTTAAAGGGTCAACCCTGAGTTAACCCTTATTTTCAGGGTTAATGCAGGGTTATCACTTTAAACTTCATATCTGGTGTTCATATTCGGGTTGTTAGTTAATGAGATGATGTTCAATCCAAAAAACCCTCAACCCTGCCCAAACCCGGAAGTTAAAGGGTCAACCCTGAGTTAACCCTGATTTTCAGGGTTTATGCAGGGTTATCTCTTTAAACTTCATATCTGGTGTTCATATTCGGGTTGTAAGCTTAGTACGTGATTGTTGTTAGATTGACCCCTCAACCCTTCCCGAACCCGGAAGTTAAAGGGTGAACCCTGAGTTAACCCTGATTTTAAGGGTCCATTCAGGGTTATCCCTTTGAACTTCATATCTGGTGTTCATATTCGGGTTGTAAGCTAAGGAGGTGATGGTTGAACCCTGATTTCAGGGTTTATGCTGGGTTATCCCTTTAAACTTCATAGCTAGTGTTCATATTCGGGTTGTAACCTTTTTCAGGGTAACCCTATGGAAGTTAAAGGGTTAACCCTTTTTCAGGGTTTATGCAGGGTTATCCCTTTAAGTGGTGTTCATATTTGGGTTGTAAGCTAATGAAGTGATGGTTTATCGATTGACCCCTCAACCCTTCCCGAACCCGGAAGTTAAAGGGTCAACCCTGAGTTAACCCTGATTTTCAGGGTTTATGCAGGGTTATCCCTTTAATCTTTATACACATTGATATATTAGTGTTTTTCTTTATTTTGCTTGGATACACCCTGCCCGGCCCCGTTTTTCGAGTTCACCTTTAACTAGATTTTATTGTTTATTAGTGTTTAGCTTCGGTGATATCTGTTGTAACTTTGTCATCAACCGCCACTTGTGATTAAAGGACCAAGTAACATGTAAAAGGGTCAACCTTGAAAATGTTAACCCTGTTCAATTAGGATTTAACCCTCAATCCTGGTGTTCAACCCGGGTTGTAAGTTAAAGGGTTTACCCTGAGTTAACTCTGATTTTCCCGGTTTATGCAAGGGTTATCCCTTTAAATTTTAATTCCATATCTGTTATCCCTTTAAACTTCATAGCTGGTGTTCATATTCGGGTTGTAACTTAAGGAGATGATGTTCAATCGAATGAACCCTCAACCCTTGCCTAACCCGGAAGTTAAAGGGTCAACCCTGAGTTAACCCTGATTTTCAGGATTTATGCAGGGTTATCCCTTTAAACTTCATATCTGGTGTTCATATTCGGGTTGTGAGCTAAGTAGGTGATGTTCAATCGAATGAACCCTCAACCCTGGCCCAACCCGGAAGTTAAAGGGTTAACACTGAGTTAACTCTGATTTTCAGGGTTTATGCAGGGTTATCCCTTTAAACTTCATATCTGGCGTTTATATTCGGGTTGTGAGTTAAGGTGATGATGTTCAATCGAATAAACCCTCAACCCTACCCCAACCTGGAAGTTTTAGGGTCAACCCTGAGTTAACCCTGATTTTCAGGGTTGAACCAGGGTTATCCTTTTAAAGTTCATATCTGGTGTTCATATTAGGGTTGTAAGTTAAGGAGATGATGATTAATGGATTGAACCTCTAAACTTCATATCTGATGTTCATCTACGGGTTGTAAGTTAAGGAGAAGTTAAAGGGTCAACCCTGAGTTTACCCTGATTTTTAGGGTCCTTCGACGGTTATTCCTTTAAACTTCATATCTGGTGTTTATATTTGGGTTGTTATATAAGTAGATATAAGTAGATGATGTTTAATAGAATGAACCTCAGGCCTTCCCGAACCCAGAATTTAAATGGATGAGTCCGAGTTTACCCTTTCTTGAAGTCTTCGTCCAGTTTTATCTCCTTAAACCTCATATGTCTTGTTCTGATTGGGGTTGAATGATAGTTATACCAAGTCCATTTGCATGAGTTTTTAAATCTATCCAAATGCGGAAGTGTAAGGAATAACCTTGATGTAGCCCTTTTTTCAGTCTTCGTTTTCTTGTTAATATTTTGTTCATCATTCTTAACTTCATATGTATCGTTAATATTCTAAAGTCATAATAATAGATAATGTTCAATTAATTGAGCCCTAAGAAATGTTAAATCCTTATGTTTTCAGATGTCTTATGTCTTGATATCTGCTTATTGTAATTGATTTTTAATATAATTAATTATCATACCAATTCTGCCCAGAGGCATGAAGTTCAAATTGTCATACAGAGTAAACCCTTATTGTAGAATTTATTCAGGTAATTTACTATCACATAATATCTGGAAAAAGAATTTTTTGACCCAATTTAACAGAAAAGTCAATGCAACCTAAAAAATCAGAATTAAATTGTAATCCGAATATTTAATTCATGCACCTTTGCATTTTTGGGGGGTTAAAAATAAACAACTGTTTCATATAAAAATCATTTATTTATTTATTTTTCAATCTGTGCTATGATCATTTTTTTAATATTCCTTATTAAAAAGTACACAGCAAAACATGCAATTCAGTGATTATCTTACAAACTTGCTGTCAAATGACAGAATGATCTGACAAAATACGAGAAAAATATCAATTAAGTCCATAATACAAGAATTGAAACGATTCACATTTATTTATATCAATTTAAGCCATTAATTTTTAACCTTGTCATTAAACAACCCATCATGAATTACAGACTTTCACATATAATTGTGAAATAATAATAATGAAAACTTAGAAGAATTCTTTTCACAATTAACGCTTCTCAATTTTGCCAATGTTCATTTTAGACTATCTCCCACCAGCTCTTCAAGTTCCTTCTGGAGTCTTGCTTTCTCTCTTTGCGCTCTTTTCTTCTTCACGATATTTTTCACCTTCTCTTGTAAATAGAGTGCAAAATCGCCCTTAATGTCCGGCTTCCACTCTGGGGCCCAAATTCTATCCCGCACTCCCTCCTCGATCAGTTTTTGGATATCCACCAATTTTGCTATTTAACACGAAATAACAGTTAACTTTTTCAAAATACTTTATAACAAGGGAATTATTCAAAAACGTCAGCCAACACAATCATTTTTATTCTCATTAATTAATATCCTTTCCCGTTAATCTACAGAGAATATGTTATACTTACTTGGTGTATTTGTCTCCTGCACCCCTACCCAATAATGGATATATGCAAGCTGAAGTTGGCTGACTTTCTCTTTCTCTGGACGGTAGGTGATGCCCTCTAATACTTCCTCGACTTTCTCTCGCATGTCTTCTTTCAAATCATCCACCGACAAGGCAACTTCTTCTTCTTCCTCCTCCTCCTCACTCTCCTCTTCTATTAACTTTCTTTTAACTCCCTTTCCGGACTCAACTTCACTTTCTAGGGTCTCCACCCTGACTTTAACTTCTTTCAATTCATTACTAAACTTTACCATAGTCTCCATAACGAATTCTCGCAAACCTTCATACTTTGCGTCGTTTTCATCTATCAAAATGAAAATGGTATGTGAAGTTAAAATATGCTTGCTATAGAAAATATCTTTCCAGAAACATGTAAACTACAATACCTTCTGATAGATTTCCTTTCTCCATACTTCTTTTACAAGACGAATGACAAATCTGTAATACAAGTGAACATCGCAAAATAATTGGAAAAACAAATTTGTGGGAAGATATTATAATTTCATAAAACCAAAACATACTAATCTTATGTATAATAGGAGTTTTATTGTCTTATCTTTGAAGGTCTATACATACTCAATAATTACACCTTCATTCACAAATAACTATTTATTTGAAGCTGCTCAGAGAGAACCAAATACTAAATTTTGCAGCCCATAAAAATTAATTCTTACCTCTAAGAATTGCTTTCAATTTAAAGGATCCTAATTCTTGTACGGAAATAGCCGTCCACACTATAGGAGTGACAAGGTACAAATGACTGCAGCTAGCTGTGTCAACGTTAGCGCGCGCTCTGAGTGATGGGAAAGCGCACTTCACACCCCTTTGTGTATTGTGAATTCACAAGCTCAGCGTTCTTAGGTAAGTGTTTGCAGCTGTCAAATTCTAGAGTCCAGTCTTGTCCTGTAATGCATTTAGAGTTAGGGAAAACATATTATGGTGAACGTTCTAAAATATAAAACAATTTTTGTAAAACGAACAACACTTTTGACATAGGTTTTTTTGTGTGTTATTTATTTATGCTTTATTCGCAGACAAAGACTTATTCCTGCGAATTTAAACCTTCTGATAAAATATAAAATGCGTTCAACAATTCAGCGTATTCTCTCTAGGGGAATTTAACGGATTTTGTGATTTTGTGAAAATATGATCCCGATAAAATAATCATTCCTTGGGGTAAATGGATGTTCTTAATCACTTCCTTGGGTTACTTTACTAAAAATTGTTATTTTCTTTCTAAATAGATATTTGGAATCAGCTTCGACAGAATATATTATGTTATGCAGTTTTCAATTTTATTAATTAAGAAACATGACTTAAGTAACTTTTCGATAAATGTTTAATATGTAAATATAAGTCAAAAGGTTCTGAATCGGATTTAACGCAAAATTATGTAATCTGATACGAAATAAATTGGAAAAACTCTCATGACCTTTATTAATTTCATATGTAGACATTGCAAATATTCATAACATCAGACATTTCATCAGTAATAAATTATTATAGGTCAACAACTGTTAAATGTTAAAAAAAACAATTCATAAATGTTTTTTTTTTGTATCATCTCGAATTATCTCTCTAACTCCTACATTTCCGTCCAAAACTGTTATATCTTCTGACTTGAGAAAGTTTATAAAAGCGTCAAAACATTTCGGTGTGTTTAAATGTGCTTATTTATTTGAAACTCTCTTCAGTTTTGTTTCGAAAGCCCTGAACGTACGGAAAGGAATATTTGATTTTAAACACTGTAATTTAAAGTGTTCGTATTTTTGGTGAACGCTTATCTTCTCCAAGCTTTGAGCATGCAGGAATTCCAGCTCTTGTGCCGACCAGGGAGCTTTATAAGATGTGGAAATCGGGTAGCAGGAGGAAGTTCTCCGAAGTCCTATGTTTTTATCAAAAAGAATGGGGTCATCATCGCGATCACCATATTCATCAGTGACATTTCCAGGTAGTTCTGCGACTTCCTGTTCTGTTTCCTTTCTCTCGTCCTTTTTGTTAGTTTTCTGTTCTTCTCCTGTCAATATTTCCAGTTTATGTGGGATTGTAAAGTGCAAGCGATTCAACTGCAAATTGCGGAATCTAAAATTGGCCAATTGTAACTTGGACAAAATCTCTAATGCAATCAACTTGTTCTTGTGTAAGGGTAGATCAGTCATAAGAACCACTAGCCTGTCATATTCAACGAAATGGCCCTGCATCAAAAGAGCAATACAGCTTATGAACGTCATTGTTATCACTGTTTGATCCATGTCCATTTTCTCTCTTTTCAACTTTCGAAGACACATTGATACCCAGGGAAGTATCTTTGGTGTTTTCTTTATTTTGCTTGGATACACAAGGCCCCGTTTTTCGAGTTCACCTTTAACTAGATCAGATATTGTAATTAGTGTAGCTTCGGTGATATCTGTCGATTCTTTGTCATACACAACCGCCCAAAACTTGTCCTTAAAGGACCAAGTAAGGGTCATGTTTCCATGTTTGTCGTATGTGGTCACCGCGGGAAAATGTTTAAGCTCCAGTTCCAGTAATCCGGCCTCTATGATCTCTGCCAATGGAAGGTTACTTTTATCCAAAAGTAAGTTCAAGCTGGGAAAAACCATTTGGGCATTAGTTCTCCTGTTTGTTGTTAGCAGTTTTACTAGCGACTTGAGGGTTACAGCTCCTACTGTATTAAAAGTGGTCTTACAGGACTTCATCTGTCTTAGGAAATCTTCAAACAGAACATAACTAGCCATCTTGCCAGTTTCGTGCAAGTCATGTAGTAAGGCAACGACCAGATGTCTACCAATAACTCCGTAGCTGCCATCCAAGTGATCGTGTAATCCCACTGATCGTGTTATCATCTTACTTATAGCCTCAGATGTTGTCCATATTTCTGGTGGTGGAATACTATATTCGTTTTGCATACAGGTTGAGTACACTTCTAAAGATAGGAATCCAAAGTGGTCACTCACACTCCGACTGGGTCCAAGAGCGCCGGGTCCCAGATTTATTGAGTATGTTGTGCTCCTTCCACAAAGTGGTTTTCCCCACAACATTTTTTCTGAGGCTAGTTCTAACTGGTAGGATTGCCAGGTAGCAAGCACATTTCCTGTTTTCTGATACTCGTTCAAAAGTTCCTGAAGTTCCTTGCAAATCCATAAGCCCAAATGTCTAATGCATGTGAGAATTTGACTGGGAAAAGGCACCAACATAGGACAACTTTCTAACAGAAATTCAAGATTTGTTATATCAATAAAATCCAAGGCATGCAAATGGTCTGCAACAGAATCCTGTGAGACGACAAATTCTATCCTACATGCACTTTTCCTCAGCAATGTCCAGTTACTTTGTAATGTTGATATATAATGCTCTGCGTCACGTAGAAATGCTTCCGCTGTCGATCGTGGGAAACACATACCCCCAACAATGCAGCCAGACACTGGATGATATCGTCCATTTGGTTGCCGGTGTGGAATGTCAGCATAAAGCTGTACAAATTGAACATCTTGTGGAAAACGACAAATCTTCATCAAACAATCTTTAACATCCATTGCTCTGCCATCTAAATTGCTCTGATAATTACCGCAGTCTGTGAACGATAAGCAGCTACTTAGTGTTCCTCTGTGGCCAATAACTTGTTCCAAACCTACTGTGGACCAAAGCAGATCAACGTCTTCACTGTCTGACAAAATGTTTCCGGCAACATGAATAGTTGTACGCAGTATTAATTCGGTAAAGAAATCTGACAAGGATAGCCCACATGTCATTTTTTCACCAAATCTGAAGCAAAATATGATTGGTCTTAAAAATCCACTTTGAGGCAGTTCGTCTAAAGATGTTTGCAATGCTTCGAGTATGGGACAACAGTCATCAGGTAAAATGAACATTTTTCGAGCGTCATTAATGTCATTCTTTTGCAGAGTTCTCGTTGCCTCCCCCCTCAAGGCAAGTGTCATTAGTGAAGTTTTAAAACTTTCCCTCAGCTGGAAAAAGGTGGCTAAGGTTTGTTGTCTTACTTGCTGCTTTGATAACGCAACTGAATGCATTTGGTGCACAGGAATTAATCCTATCCAACATTCCCATCCCCTCTCATAGAATAATTGAAAGCCTAGGCTGTTTGAAAATGTCATGAGTTCGCTTTTACTATACTGTGGTAATTTTATATGTTTTTTCAAAACGCTTCTAACATTCCGTAAACTGGCATGATCGTGGGGAAACAGAGTAATATGTCTCACTGGCATTCTAATTGCTGTCAAAGATTTTAATTCCAAAACGCATCCATCAATATCGAATGAATATCTCAACCATACTTCTCTGTCTACTTCATCGACTGTCAAACATCTTCCATAAATTCGTTCATCCCTTCTTAAAAAGAGTTGAGGTGTTTCAGATAAAGAATTGTATAGCTTTGCTAAATTAAAGTTCTCTTGCACGGTTTCAGAAAAAGTTTGTACACTTTCATCAACGTCCATCTGAAATTAGAAAAACATTGTTTTTAGAATGGTACTCTTTGCAAAAGATGTAAAATCCAGAAAAAATTCATGTGCTGAAAATTATACTAACAATATCAAAAAATCCTGCATAAAAATAACCCTGGGTTAAACCCGTGTATATTCTGGGTTAGACTTGGGTTTATCCTGGGTTAGACCCGGGTATATCCTGGATTATACCTGGGTTATACCCAGGTATATCCTGGGTTATACCCGGGTATATCTCGGGTTATACCCGGGTTTATCCTGGGTTATACCCAGGTATATCCTGGGTTATACCCGGGTATATCTTGGGTTATACCCGGGTTTATCCTGGGTTATACCCGGGTATATCTTGGGTTATACCCGGGTTTATTAAATTTTTTCCTGGGGAACCCTTAAAATTTTAAAAGGGTTAAAGGGTATACCAAAAACCGGGATCCCAAATTTTCATACCAGCAAATTTAAATCAAACTTATTTCTTTCAATTGTTCTAAATAATTAAAAAATATTAAAATTAATGAAAATACATTTTATTTAAAGGTGGTTGCCAAAAAAAACAAAAATTTTTCCTTAAAAAAAAAAAATTAAAATATTTCCAAATTTTTTAAGAAAATAAAAATTAAATAACCATAAAAAGGTTTGTTTCTAAAAACACAAAAAAAAAAATTTAAAAAAAAAAAAATTAAAAATTACCTTGTTTAAAAAATCCCATTAAACCCCAAAACAGTTATAACCCTATAACCCAAAAACCCAAAACCCCAAAACCCCTTTTTCCCAAAATAACCCAACCCTAAAATACAACCCACCCCAACCCCTAACCAACCTAACCCTAACCCTAACCCTAACCCTAACCCTAACCCTAACCCTAACCCTAACCCTAACCCTAACCCTAACCCTAACCCAAACAAAACCCATACCCTTAACCCTCCCCCAAACCCCTTTCTTAATTAATTATTTAAAAACCCCTAACCCTCCCGACAGGGTTATGGGGGTTTAAACCCTTAACTTATTCTGGTTTTAAATTTGGGCTGTAATTATTTGATGTTATTTGATTAATAATTGGAAGGAGTTAGGGTTCCCCCCTTTAAACCTTTTTCAGGGTTAGGGGGTTTACCCTTTTAAATTTTTTTATTTTTGGGGGTTCAATTCGGGTTTTTAATGTATTTGATTTACCCTAATTCCGGGAAGTTAAAGGGTCAATGATTAACCCTAATTTTGGGCCACCCGGGTTATCCTTTAAAACCTTTGAGTTCATATTCGGTTTAATTTAAAGGGGTTTTAAATTTTTCCCCTAAACTTCCCCCCCGGAAGTTTAGGGCCCCTAAGTTAATGATTTTGGGTCCATTATACCCTTTTAACTCAATCTGAGTTCAATCGGGTTGTAATTAAGTGAGGTGCTTAATTGATTCCCCCTCCCCCCTTAAACCCCCGGGAATTTGGGTTTAATTAAGGTAATGATTTTATTTTGATTCCCCCCTTTAAACTTCAACTGGGTTAATTCTGAATTTAAAAATTGATTTTATTTGATGACCCTAACCCTTCTAACCCGGGTTAAGGGTCAATTTTAAAAGGGATTTATTTTATCAGGATCCCAAAACCTTTATACTGGTGTTAAGGGTTAAGTTAAGGGATTTTGTGAAATAAAATTACCCTTAACCTTCGCCCCCGGGTTAAACCCCTTTTAAGTTTTTAGGGTCCTTAAGGGTTACCCTTTAAACCTTCTATCGGGTTCATATTCGTTGAAGTTAAGTGATGTTAATTATGCCCCTCCCCCCTTCCCCCCCGGGTTTTTAAGGGCCCTAAGTTAAGGGTTTTTCTTTTTGATTCCCCCCTTTTAAACTTCAACCTGGGTTAAAGGGTTAATTAGGGTAATCCTTATTTGTTCCCCTTAACCCTTCCTAACGAAGTTAAAGGGTAATTAAGGAAATTTTTTTGGGTTTATCCATTACCTTTTTAACCCCTTTTTCCGACAATTGGGTTAAGTTAATATGGGGGTTTTATCGTTACCCCAAAACCCCTTCCCCCCGGGTTAAAGGGTAACCTGAGTTAACCTGATTTAGGGTTTATCAGGTTACCCCTAAACCTTCTATCTGGTGTTCAAGGGTTACTAGTAGGTGTTTTTTGGGCCCATTCCCCTAACCCTTTGAACCCGGGTAAAAGGGTAACCCTAATTTAATGATTTAATCCAATACCCTTTTAATCCGTACTGGGTCATAGGGGGTTTGAACTATAGGTGATTTCAATCAAAACCCTCAATTTCCCTAACCCGGGTTAAAGGGTTTTGAGTAAGATTTGGGGGTTTATCCGGGGCCCTCAATTTCCCAACGGGTTAAAGGGTTTGAGAAAAGGGTTTATTTTCCATTCGGGCCCAAAAAGGGAAAGGGGTTTTTTAGGTAAATTAGGGGCCCTGATTTATGGGCCCAAACCCTTTTCCCTTAAAATGTAATAGGGGTCACTTTTTTAAAATATATATGGTTAAGGGTTGAATTAATTCCCCAAAATTGGGTTTCCCCCTTTTTCCCCCTAATTTTCATATTTGGGTTAGGATTTCTTAAAAAATTCCCTTTGTAATTTATTGGGAAAATTTTCAATTTTTAAATTTCTTTTTAAATAAATTTAAATATTTTAAAAAAATTTTAATTTTAAAAGTTTTCAATTTATTATTAAGAAAATGACTTAATAATTAGATAAATTTTAAAAATAATATAATAAATTCTAATGGATTTGAAAAATATTTTTGATAAGAATAAATTGAAAAATTTTATGCCAAAATTTGTATGTAAAAAAAATTCATAATCGTTTTGTAATAATTATTTATCACAATTGTTTGTAAAAAACTTAAAAATTGTTTTTTTTGTAACTCAAAAATTTCTTTTTAAATTCGTCAAATTTTTAAATCTTCTATTTGGGTTTGAAAAGCCCAAAACTTCGGGGTTTTAAAAATTTTAAAATTTTTTTAAATTCTTATTTTTGTTTAAAACCCCCTTAACCCCCAAAGGTTTTGAAAACAGGAATTTTAAGTTTTCGATTTTTAAAAAGGGAAATCTTTAAGCGAGAATCGGAATTCCAGTTTTTTCCAAAAGGGAGTTTATAAGTTTAAATCTACGGAAATTTCTGAAGTCTAGTTTTTCGAATGGTCTCTCCTCCCTCCCCTTTTTTTTTGGGTTTTCGGGCCTTCCTGTCTTTTCCCTTTTTGGGGGGTTTAATTTTTCTGTTCGTAAAAATTTTTAAATTTATTGGGAAAAATTCAAGCAATTCAACTGTTTTGGTTAAAGGTAATTTAAGGAAAAAAATTTAAATTTCAAAAATTGGCCCTTTTAAGGGAGATCAGTCATAAAACCCACATTTTCATTTAACCAAATGCCCTTTTCCTAAAACTTTGAAGCATTGTTACAGGGGATCCTGTTTTTCTTTTTTTTTTTGGAAACACTGGTCGGGAGTTCTTTTGTTTTTTTATTTTGCTTGGAAAACCTGGCCCGTTTTTGAGTTCCCCAACCCGCCCAAATATTGTTTAGTGAGCTGGTATTTTCCCATTTTTGTCATAAACCCCCAAAATTTGCCCTTTAAAAGCCAAGTAAGGGCTTTTCCCATGTTTGCCAATGGGTTTACCCAAAATTTTTAAGCCCCAACCGGGAACCCTTTTTTATTCTCCTGGGGTTGTTTATCCATAATTCAATTTGGGAAAACCTTTTTAAAAGTTTTTTTTGGGTTTTACGTTTTAACACTTAAACAGCTACTGTTTAAAGTTTCTTACAGGTTTCATTGTTAGGAAATTTTAAAAACCAAAATAACTCCTTTGCCTTTTCCAAGTATGTGTAACCCAACGACGGATTCTCCCAATCCCTAGTGTCCAAGGGGTGGGGGAATCCACTATAATTGTTTTCTTACAGGTTAGATTTTAAATATTTCGGGTGGTACTAATTCGTTTGTAAAAGGGGTCCCCCCAAGATTTTTAAAGGGGTTTTCCTTCACGGGCCAAGGCTCCCCCAATTTTTTTGTGGCTCTTCAAAAGGGGTTTTTCCCAAAACATTTTTCCTGGGTTTTCTAACTGGAAAGTTCCAAATTTCCGAAATTTTTCCTTTTTCCCAAATGAAAAAAGTTGAATTTCCTGAAAACCAAAGAAAATTTCAAAAAATTAAATTTGATGGAAAAACCAACATGAAAATTTCTAACAGAAATCAAGTTTTGTAACAAAAAACCCAAACATGCAATTTTCTAAACAAATCCTTTTAAGAAAATTTATTAATGCCTTTTCCTAGAAATGTCCGCTTTGAATTTTGGAAAAATCCCCCCAGAGAAAGCCCGGTGTATCGTAAAATTTTCCAAAATGCACCCAAAACGGGAAAATTTTGCCTTTTTTTCCTGTGGAACACAAAACTTAAAAATTACATCCTGTGGAAACAAAATCTTATAAACTTTTTTAACATAGCCCCCTTTTAAAATTTCCTCTGATAATTCCCAAATCTGGGGCCCAAAGCAGTCAAGTTTTCCCTCTGGGGCCAAAAGTTGGGCCAAACCTGTTTTGGCCCGCAGTTTAACGTTCATTGAAAATTTGGCAACAGGAATAGCCCCAGTATTATTTCTGAAATCTGACAAGGATCCCCAATTCATTTTTAAAAATTCGGCAAAATTGTTGTCTTAAAATATAAAGCAGTTGGGTTAAAAGGGAAAAATTTTTCGAGTTTTAACATTCTTCAGGTTGTTTTTTTCCCCCTCAAGAACTTTTGGAGTTTTAAACTCCCCTCAGGAAAGGTCAAAAGGGTTTTTTAAACTCTCCCCCTTTTGGAAAAATGGAATTTTTGGGTTGCATTTGCTTTATAACCCCAACCCCCTTTTGAAAATTAACCTTTTTAAAATTTCCCCATCCCTCTTTTAAAAAATTGAATTTAGGTTTTTTAAAAGTCTCCCCTTTTCCTAAATTTGGGTTTTTAT